TAATTATTTTTTTTATTTTTTTCTCACTCTACAACTCAAAAAATAGTTGATGGCATGTTTTTTTATAAAGTCGCATGTAGTCGTCCTGATACTCGTGGACGGTAGTGTACATCTGATAATTAGTGTGTCAATTTTCCTTAATTTTCGTCGCTTCATTTTTTTGAAAAATTTAATTAGGAGAGAGTAGGGTAAACCAGCTCACTATCGATTTGACGAACTGAACTTAAGATAGAGATATTGGTACTGTGAATAGTACTTAACATTCAACTTATATTAACGAACTTTCGTTTAGTTTCATGAATTCAATATAGAATCAGAGGCGATCAAATGTTTTTAGAGGTGTCAGAAAAAAAAGTTTTTTTAGTATTTAAGTTTTTCTATAATTATTTCTGAGTCTTAATTTATTTGGCAATTTTTTTTGTTGCTATTGGATGTCCTTCTTCGAAGTACATTTATATAGTTTTGCCTTATTTCAAAAAGATTTAATTAAATTTATTCTAAGATGTGAGGAATACACTCGGGGTAAAGACGCTCACGTGAAGTCGGGGTAAAGCCGCTCACTTAGTTTTAAATTTAAAATTTAGAATAAAATAATTTCACGTATTATATTTTAACAATAACAAAATTTATGGCTTGTTAAAACCAAAATTGTAACTACAATTCACTTTCTCTTAATAAAACATAACATTATTTAAATCCATAGTTGTAATTCATGAAACCTATATTCATTATTTATTAAACCAATTTGTTGTTTATAGAATTGTTTATAGAACTCATAGTTTATCGAAAATAAATTATACTTAAGACGGGAATAAGACGAATTTTAATATTTAAAAAATAAAACTGTTCCGTCTTGAAAAAATAAAGTGAGCGGATTTACTCTGGAAAATTGTGATTTCGAAATTTGGTAAATGTGTATTAAAAAGTTTCTCTAAGTAAAACTAAAAAACATAAATCAAAAAATCTTTTTTATTTTTTAGTAGAAATCATAAGCTTTCAAATGATATAAATTAACTTGGATTTAAAGAATAATTTCCTAGATTTTTACCAATCTGAAAAAAAGTGAGCGGGTTTACCCCAGTCTCCCCTACTTAAAGTGTCCTTTTGTACCTTTTAAAATCCGCTTGATTTTTTTAAATTGACCACATTGTTGAGAAATTGCAAAAATTAGAAGTAGAGGATACATTTTGCGATATTTATTTTTATGTTTCTCTAATCCTTTTTGTTTTAACAATATTTTCATAATTTCTCTACATTTTACTAAAAAATGAATAATACCATCGTTTACCGTATTAGTAACCGAAAAAATGCACTATGTAAAAGTTGTTTTCAATAAAATAGAAACCTTTTACAAATGTTTCAAATATGGGGTTCCAAACAACCCCATTTTTCTGTCAGTGTATAAAAAAATTATATTTCCGTTCGAGGGTTAAAATAAAACTATATAATTGTAGAATAATGGAAAACTATAGTCTTTGACCTAATATTTTGAGTCTCTGGGAGTTGAGTAAAGTTAGAATTATTAATGAAAAACTGAACTTAAAGAATGAAAACCTGTAAATCATAATAAAACCTAATAAAAAAACTTTTTATTACCATTTAGGATTATTAAATACAAAAATAATGGTCATAAGTATTTCAAAATTGAAAATAGTGAATACAAAAAGAAAGAGGTTTTTAATGACGGACTAAATTACGAAAACTTTAAAAATATTTCAGACTTGTTCTGATTTTGGTATTTGAATTTGTCTGAGGTTGCTGAATTCAAATATGATGGTCAAATTTAAAAATTAAAAATGTCGGACTAAATATGGTTGACAAATTATTTTTGTAATGCTTAGATTTCAACTAGACTAGAGTAAGATTGGGGAATTGTGGGCCACCTCCATTAATTAATAATATTTGATTATCAAATTTTTTTTTATTTTCTTTTGTTCGTCCAAAGTAAATTTTTCATGATCAATTCATGACTTTACAACCCTTTACCTTTACCTTTACCTGTAAACCGTAAGGGAGCGTTCATAAATGATGTCACGTTTTTGGGGCTAGGGGGGAGTCTCTACTAAACGTGACACAATGTATTTTTACGTGTGAAATTGCATGACAGGGAGGAGGGGGGGTCTAAAATCCCGAAAAATTGCGTGACATTATTTGTGAAAGCTCCCTAAACAACAATTACTTACAAAAATTTATTTTTATTTTGGGCGTTCATATTTTTATTGTTTTTACAAGGATTTTAAAGAATTAATTATGGAAAATATTTTTTTAATTATTGTGTGGCATTGGTACTTTGACTTCAAAAAGAAATTTTGCAACAAATTGAAATAAATAAATAATACAAATCTTTTTGTAAAATGAAGCATTTAGAGAATTGTTGGCCAAGTTTTTTGGGGAAGAATTTGTTACTTGTTTTTGGCGATTTAATTGCACAATCCAGGTACATACTATTAAAATTACTGATAGCTATAGTAATTTAACAAAAACAATTCTATTCTTTGCGATCTATGCGATAGAGCTGTTAACATAAAATGTGTAAATAATGCAGCCTATTTTACTTCGCCAAATTACGATAGTGAATAATTTTATTTCCTTATTTTTTATTTTATAATTTTAAACTAATAATTATAACATTTCTAACCATTTAATAAATATATTTCATTGTTATTTTATATATTGAAATTAATTGAGGCAGTGGCCAACAATTCCACAACATTTTTAAAAACCATAAAAGTGCACTCTTTAATAAAAGTCAAATTTCTTTTAAGTGATTATGAAACTAACTACCTATGTTTGCCTCCTACTGACAAAAAAAATTTTTAATTTGAAAGAAAAAATTTTTGTGTAAGATATAAAGCTAAGAAAAAGTGTGTCCCACAAAACCCCAATCTTCCGTAATTCAAAATTTTTGCTAACTGTAAAGTATCAAATCGCGTTTAAATCTCAACATTTTAAAATATTTTCGTCAGCCATACTGCTGTTTTGAATTTTTAAATTTTATTATCATACACAGTTGACCAATATGGCTGATGACAAACTTAAAAAATAATTGGATTGTCATTCTTACTTAGGGGTTTTAAAGTCATCAGCCTCTTTTAATATGCGGTCTACAAAAATTATGCTATGATTTTTTTTACCTGCGACTGATTGAGTTCAATGGAAAACATTTCTATCCCAAATGCACAAAAATAGCGCTTTTATATAACTAACGACAGGGACTCTATTATTTATGACAAATAACGCTTTTGAAATGCGTTTTCACAGCACAATTGCAAAGAATTTTTAAATCGGCACAACGTTATACTATTTAGGGTTTTTCCTCTGTACCTACACTACCGTCCACGAGTATCAGGACTATTACACGCGACTCTATGAAAAAACATGTCATCACTTTTTTAATCATATCTCGCAAATAAAAGGAGATACAAAAAAACTTAAATACGGTTAGAGAGCTGATTAAATTTTACGTAAAATAAGCCGTCTTTGAAGTAATTTCGTTAACTATTTTTTGAGTTGTAGAGTGAGAAAGAAATTTAAAAAATTATCAAATTTTTTCATTTTTGGCTGTTGATTTCAACTTTTTCAAAAATCTAGAACAATTTAGATAAAATTTTTCTAAAAACACAGAAATCTTCGTTAGAATTTCAGCTTTAAAATAAGCCTTCGAAAAATAAAAAGATTATTCCGTCTTCGATATATCATTAAAAATGTGAAGCCGTGTTTTGACCGATTGGTGCATTGAAATTCAACTGTGACGAATCGACTCTGGCTTCGCGCGGCAACGAATGAGAGAGAAAGCAGATATGAAATCATGCGGGGGAACGATTAACTTTCGAGTTTCTTTATATTCTTGTGAAACATCATTATTTATTATTCCCCAGCATAAATCCGTTCCTGTTTTTTCTCCCATTCGCAGCCACGCGAAGCTAAAATCGAGTCGTCACAGTTAAATTCCAATGCACCAATCGACAAAACACGGCTTCACATTTTTAATGATAAATCGAAGACGAATTAACCTTTTTTAATTTTCGAAGGCTTATTTTAAATCTGAAATTCTAGTGAAGATTTCTGTGTTTTTAGAAAAATTTCATCCAAATTTTTCTAGATTTTTGAAAAAGTTGAAGTCAAGAGACAAAAATGAGAAAATTTAATAATTTTGTTTATTTCCTTCTCACTCTACAACTCAAAAAATAGTTAACGAAATGACTTCAAAGATGACTTATTTAGCTCAGAATTTAATCATCTTTCTAACCGTATTTAAGTTTTTTTGTATCTCCTTTTATTTTCGAGATATGGTTGAAAAAGTGATAACACGTTTTTTCATAGAGTAGCGTGTAATCGTCCTGATACTCGTGGACGGAAGTGTATATCTAGAAATACTTCTTTTGAAAAAACGAATTTAAAATATTCACTGCTCAATTAACTTAAGAAATTAAATGTTTTTTATAAAGTTGAGGAAAATGTAATTAAAGTCATTAATAGAAAATTTATTAACTTTCAAAAACTGTCACACTTTAATAATACTTATTTTTTTACTCTTCAGAAGCTACAAAAGAATATGATAAAACCTTAAGCTTCGTAAATAAGTCGCTTAAAAATAATTAGTATAAAAATGAATATATGTTTGTGAGTTACACCTTCAATTTCTAAAGTTAAGAATTTTCAGCAAATAAATTTGCTATTTAAAGCTTTGATTTTGATAAAACAATTTCTTAAAAATTTTGTTTGCTTAATATCTTTATATTTAAATCTATAAGAACTTGATTTGATGAAAAATAATTTCTTTTCTAACTGTTATATCCTTATACCCAATTTGTTCATACTTTTGCGAAATTCCCTACATGCTCATTGTTTACTACTTGTAGAAAGAATTTTTTGAATATTTAAAAATGAAGCGAATATCAAAACTGCAAAATATTTTTGTGCTTTTATATCTAAATTAATGTAATTTTATATTCATTTAAATAATCTTCTTTTACATATTTAATATTTAAAAATTCTAGACGATGGAGATTTTTGACTTCAGATCAAAAGGGTTATTTAATACAAGTTATGCCGCCAGCTGATCTCGTCCCAGAAATTATCAAGGAACTGTGCTTGAAAACGATAGAGACTAGAGCTGAAACAAATAAATCAATCGACAATGCAATGATTCTTTTCAACAAAGATTTTGTAGTGGATCATAAGTACAAAAGTCTCCTGCTAAATGTACCAACACGTCATGTAATGGTAGATATTGAAAATGACGAGGCAAAGGCAAGTAAACAAATTGTCAGACTTAGAGACTTAGATATTGTCCATTTCTTTATTTTGGGCAACGAACAAACGATTTGCATGGCTTTAAAGATAGCGGAGTCTCAAAATTACACTGGTCGATTTTACTCTTGGTACATGATAACTCTTGATGATTTTACACCGATTTGTGAAAGGAACAATATTTCTCTTATGTTTATCAAGCCGGAGACGATTATTCAATCACGCTTAGATGCAATTAAATCTAAAAATCTGCTCAAGCCTTTAATAAGTTCTGCCTTTTACTATGACTTGACACGCATCGCCGTCCTAGGAATGAAAGTGGCTATTGATTCTGGAAAATGGTCTAGTCAAGAAGGTCACATTACTTGTGAAGAATTCAACACTGGTATGAAAAATTAAAAAAATATTCAAATAAACTTTTTAATGTAGATTATTTTTGGTAATTTACAGCACTACATAATTTTTTTGTCGCAGCATTATTATTAATTAACTATTAATTTGTTCGTGCATAAAAAATAGCATTACATTAATTCCTGCGGTCTGATATTTAAAATTGATACTTTCTTGCCTTTGTAATTAAAACTATCGTAAATATCATTGGGTTGAAGCAGTCAAGTTATTTATATTAACGCTTATTTGAATTTATAATTTATTCTTTTTGTAATATGAAATAAATATTATTTTTTAGGTAAAAAGACTACACCGGTTAGAAACTTTAATTTCTTACCGTTACTTAAGGCTGAAACGATGAGTAAAAATTTTACATCAACTTATGCAGATTTTTATTGGGGTAATGAAAATGGGGAACACAGAATGGAATTTAATATGGCTGTTAGCATTGTAGATATTCGTCAAAAAGTAGTCACAAAAAACAAAGAAATCGCTAAGTGGCCAGTCGACAATACGAAAGAGTTAAATGTAAGTACTATAAAAAGATGTATAAATGTGTTTTATTCATTATTAGAATTAAGTTATTCATATGTCTTACCTTTTACTAAATATTTCTTGTCTGAAACAAATTTTATACCATTTTATGTATTTATATATTTAAAGATAGAAAAGGACGAATTGGCGAATCATACTGCAAAATTGAGCTACCGAGTGGTGACGGTTATTCAAAAGCCTTTTGTAATGTACGATAAAAAAAATGGATGGACTGGATATTGCATGGATCTTCTGCACGAAATCAGGAATACGTCTGGGATTGATTTTGAATACACAATTGAAGAAGTCGCTGATAAAGAATACGGGAATATGAATGAAAACGGAGAATGGAATGGAATGATCAAAGAGCTCAAAGACAAGAAGGCTGACATTGCCCTAGGGACATTGGCAGTAATGGCTGAAAGAGAAAATGTTGTTGACTATACTGTTCCGTATTATGATCTTGTTGGCGTCACTATTTTGATGCTTAAATCTCGAGCCAGGTCTTCACTCTTCAAATTTCTTACGGTTTTGGAAGGAGATGTCTGGCTGTGTATTATGGCTGCGTACTTTTTTACAAGCTTCTTGTTGTGGATATTTGATAGATTCTCGCCTTATAGTTACCAGAATAATCGGGAAATGTATAAAGATAGTTTGGAGAAACGAGTATTTACGCTTAAAGAGTGTCTCTGGTTTAGTATGACATCATTAACTCCTCAAGGTGGAGGTGAGATTCCAAAGACTATACCTGGTCGAGTTATTACCGCAGTTTGGTGGGTTTTTGGATTTGTGATTGTTGCTTCTTATACTGCGAATCTGGCTGCATTCCTCACAGTTTCAAGATTGGAGGTACCGATTGAATCACTAGATCAACTTGCTGCTCAGTATAAAGTTCAATACTCTGTTATTGAGAATTCTAGTGCTCACACATATTTCCACAGAATGGCTGATATTGAACGTCGATTTTATCAGTAAGTTAGTCTCTTTTATTACTAAACATTTCTTCTTTCAACCTGAAGCCAATTTTTTATAAAAAACATAAAAATTTATTGAGATATGTTTAAAATTTTGTTTAAGCAAGTACATAAAAAAAGAATTATTTTCTGATACAAATACTAACAAACACTGTGGGAATTGAGACATAGGATGTTTTTAGGACATCCGCAGAACATTTATTTCCGTTCGAAAGACACAAAAGAAATCATATGTCCAAAGGATGTCTCTAGGACATTATTAATTTCATCAGAGGTGATTGAAAAAGATTTTTTCTTTAATTACGTTCAAACTATGGGCATTATTAGTATTTATAGATAAAAATTGTGAGGTTAATATATTTTTCAATTTAGTTGAAAATTATTTGAGAATCAGGGGGTAAAAGATTCAGGGTTTTTGTCGGTTCATCGCATATTTTTCAAATTGTTGATTAAAGTTTTGATTGGTTTTTTCATGATACATTGCTCTTAAGGCGTACTTGCGTTTTCGAAGGCGAAAAATAGGCCCTACTTTACTGTTTTTTTCACAGTCATTTTACTTGAAAGATTAAAAACGTATTCTGCACCTTATAATACCTACAATATTAATAAACAAGTTGTTCATTTCATGATCATTAAGCTTCCTCAATAAAATATATACCAATTGTTTAATTTTTTATTTTAGAATAATTATTTTAAAGTGTTAAGATAAAATGTCAAAAAATACAAAATTTCAATTTTTTGTGAAAATTTAAAATATTTATTAATTCTATAAATTTTGATAAAATATATACTTTATATACATGAATCGATTCGTTTTTATGTCAGGAATGCAATTTTGACAAGAATTAATAAAAATTTTAATATAGAAAAAAGTTATTTCAAAAAATCCAAAAATTAATTTTTTCAAAAATTAAAAAATTGTTGAAAAATTTTTTTTTTAGATATTTTTGAAAATCCTTTTGTCTGATTTTTAGTATTCGTGACCGTAATACACCTACAAAATTTTATCAAAATCCGTCAAGACGTGTAAGAGAAAATTTGTCCACAAGAATCGGTGACATACACACACACACACACATACATACACACATTCATCCGGACATTTGTTCCTCTCGACGAATTATGTATACTACACTTGAAAATTTGTAAAAATAATTGGTTCTAAAAAATTCGGAAATCGACATCACTATAAGGCTTCCTTTATGAGGAAGCAAAATAAATAAATATTAAACAAAACTTTAGCGCAAGACAATCCGATAATAACTGTTGGAGCAAGATTGCCCACAGTTTTGAAATCCAATCTTTAACTCTGCCGATATTTCCAAAAATTTGCCGGGTTTTTTTAGAATTACCGCTTGAATTACAACTACGTACTACTCTGTCTTATGTTTTAAGTATTAATGTGTAAGGCATGTTTTACGTCTTAAGTCTTAAGACATATGTCTGAATTACGATGAAAGCGTTAACGAGCAATACAATATAACCGACCTTCTACATTGATATTAGCTTCATGTTCAGCATTTCGAGCGACTATGAGTTGTCTTCGAGATTTTAAGGTTGCGAGAGTTACAATGATAAAAGAAAAAATTTCCGATAATGCTAAAAAGTATTTAGTGCTCTTGGACACCTTTTGCAAATTACGATTTTTCTGAAATAAAAAGATTACAAATCCTCTTCTAATGATATAATTTCTATTTTACACATCACAGAGAATTTATTAAACCATAAAAAAGTCAGGGATATCACTCCCCCATAATTACATTTCTCCCCTCACTACAACTAGTGGGCTTCATTTTTCATAATGAATAATTAAAAAGTTTCTACGAAAAAATTTATTGTATTTTTCATTACTTAAAAGTTAAGGATTCAATTTTTAATTACCAATGAAAGCTAAATAACTAAATTTCAATTTCAATTACACTCACACTTTCACCTGAACTAAAATTAATTTTTATATTTGCTTTCATTTACTATCTCACTCTCATATTCACTTTTACGAAAACTAAAATTTTTTTTTTATGACACTCTCAGTTTTACCAAAACATTAACCAAAAATGAACAATTAATTTCTTTTATTTTCACTTACAATCTCTTTCACAAGCTTAGGGGAGAGTCTCCAGTTGTGAGACGGGTTTCATTTTTGACCCGTAAATTGTAAACGGGTAAACAAAATTGTAAATAAAATACACCGTTCGAAAGGTAACAGAAATACGCAACTTTTATTAAAAGAAAGTGTAGTGTTTCGATGAACTCAGAAAATTTTACGATACATTTTCCGAGCACATCGCTTTTTTCAAAAAAAAAAAATGTCTCCAGTTGTGAGACACTCATTAAAAAGTGCTAAAATTTAATAAGTTTGGCATAAAACGTTATGTCTAGTAGAAATAATTAAATATATTAATAATATATATTATTATATACTAAATAATAATATTTATTCGCCAAAATATGTCTATCAAATAAACATCATTTAATAGCTTCAACAAGAGCATTAAAATTGATTTCTTCTGAATCAATTGACTTTTTTCCACTTGACATGCTCAAAAATACTAGAAAAAGAAATGAAAACAACATTTAAATAGTATGCCTGCAAAGTCGTATTTTTTATGCTGCCCAGATGGGTGTTGACACCGTCTCACAACTGGTGATATGCTGTGTCTCACACCCAGAAATTGGCGCTATTTTGAAAAAGGAAGATTAAATTATTTTCAACCGTAGATTGGAACAATGCAATATTGCATCACAAAATATAAGGAAAACACTAAAAGAAAATGCATTACATTTACCTTTTCCAATTAATTAACTTGGAAAAAAAGTACTTTGCATTTATTGAAAAAACGCTTTTTAGTCGATTATCACACACAGTGTTGGTATTTAACAAAAACAGTTTATATATCCGCTTCGGCGTACACGAAAAAGTTGGCTCATATAAAAAGAAATGTTTCTATATAAACCAATCGTCTTTTTAATATTGCATGTTAAAAAAAATTGACTGTCTCACAACTGGAGGTGTCTCACAACTGGAGACTCTCCCCTACTGTCGCCTTTGCCAAAAGTAAAATTAATTTTAATTACTTTTACTCTCACTCCACTCACTAACTCATTCAAAGGTCAACGACACGTAAGAAAATGTCGAGGAAAATGTTTTTCATGTTCTTAATAACTTTTCTAACAATAAAATTAATTAAAATTGAAAAAAGTTAACAATTTTTCAAAATCAATCTCACAAATAAATAAATAAAATCTCTTAACCCTTTAACGCCCAAATGGACAAAATTTTGGCATGAAGTTTGAGGACTTATTTCAGTACTTAAAAATCAATAGAAAAATTTACGAATCATCATTTCTTATGTTTTCATATGCGCTCTATCGAATGGCGAAGAAAAAAAAGTCAAAAATTTATAAACAAAAAAGTTATTAATGTTTTTTATAAAAAAAGTCCGATTTTTTTCCAATTTTTGTTTAATTTTCAATTTTTTCTACTATGAAATAGCGGAAAAATAATTCCAAATGTTACAAATAACGTGACATAGATATATAACCTAGAAGATAGGACTATAGAGAAAATTAAAAATTAAAATGGCGGCTCAAAAATGGAGTTTGAAGTTCAAATTTTTTTCAAAATTTGATTCGAAAGTACGAAATTGTTAAAAGTGTTTAGATCAGCTTGAAATTTGTTACTCAAGGGTTTTAGGGGTCGCTGATCACGAATCTGAAGTCCAATTTAAAAAATTCAAAATGGCGGATCCAATATGGCGGACAATTTTTTTAAAAACTCATTAAATTTGCTTGAAATTTGTTACTCGGGGGTTTTTGGGGTCGCTGATCACGAATCTGAAGTCCAATTTAAAAAATTCAAAATGGCGGATCCAATATGGACGACAAAATTTTTAAAAACTGATTAGATCAGCTTGAAATTTGTTATTCGGGGGTTTTAGGGGTCGCTGATCACGAATCTGAAGTCCAATTTAAAAAATTCAAAATGGCGGATCCAATATGGCGGACAATTTTTTTAAAAACTCATTAAATTTGCTTGAAACTTGTTAATCGGGGGTTTTTAGGGTCGCTAATCACGAATCTGAAGTCCAATTTTGAAAATTCAGAATGGCGGATCCAATATGGCGGACAATTTTTTTAAAAACTCATTAAATTTGCTTGAAACTTGTTACTCGGGGGTTTTTAGGGTCGCTAATCACGAATCTGAAGTCCAATTTTGAAAATTCAAAATGGCGGATCCAATATGACAGTCGAATTTTTAGTTGAAATTCAAGAATCACGTTCTTTAGCCATTAAAATACTTAAAATATTTTTAATGTTTTCCAACGTTTACCACGTGGAGGTAAACGTGAACTGGAAAGTCTTTTTTTTATTTTTAAATTTTATATTTTTTTTACTTTTTTATTTTTTGTTTTTTTTCTTTTTTCATTTTTATGTATTTTTCTTCTTTTTATTTGTTATTATAATTTTTGAATTTAAAGGTCGAAAAATGGAAATGTATATGTTTTATTTTAATCATTACTTATTTCAAGGTCAAATTAAAAAAAAAATTTTTATCTCCAGCTTGCAGCTCTTGTAAAACCTTTAAAAATTATTATTCACAGTTTTAATTCGATTAATTTTACTTATCAATATATTAAATAAAAAAAAAGATATTTTAAAAAAAGACTTTACAGTTGACGTTTGCCTCCACGTGGTGAAAGTTGGAAAACATTAATAATATTTTAAGTTTTTTAATGGCTAAAGAACGTGATTATCAAATTTCAACTAAAAATTTGTCTGTCATATTGAAGCGGCCATGTTTAATTTTAAAATTTGGACATTATAATCGTAATCAGCGACCCCAAAACCCCCGAGTAACAAATTTCAAGCTGATCTAATCAGTTTTTGAAAATTTATTGTCCATATTGGATCCGCCATTTTGAATTTTTTAAATTGGACTTCGGATTCGTGATCAGCGACCCCAAAAACCCCCGAGTAACAAGTTTCAAGCAAATTTA